TGCTGTATTATGACATAAGAAAGATAACCTTTGAGCTACTTTGTGATTTCTTTAAAATTGAGCTTCAGATTTGTTATTCAGAAATGACATAAGGGGAAGTTAGATAAATATATATGGACAGGAGAAAATAATATATTTATTAAGTTAATGTTTAATTTTTCACTAGAATAGAATTATATGTTTGGAGAAGATCTACCACTTAGAAGTCATCAGAAGGTAGAAATGCATGACGTTTCAAAGGAATTTCTTCAGTCTGAAATATATGGAATGCTATAAATACCATTATTTCCAATCTTTTCTTTCCAAGTATGAATTGAACTTACATTTTCCCACAGAAATAGAAGAGTTCTAGTCAAAGAAAATCCTATTCTAAAATATTTGTCATGAAAACTTACCACCCCCAAGTGAAGATTATGCTACCAGCCTACCTTCAGTTACACAGGGACTTTCCGAAGTTTTTATAGGTGACTGAATAAATTATTAGTTTAATGGAAGAATGGTTTTTCCATTCTTTCACGCAGTCCCCTTGGGAACAACAGGCATTTGCAAGAAACTGGCCTAGTTTTGCCTAATGGTAACACTGAGTACTGACATCATGACCTCTTCACAAAGTGCTCTCACCAACTGCCCTAACAGCTTCTGATTGCTTTGGTATTGCTGAAGTGCATCTATCATCAAACATGCAGGTTTTCACTTACACTCCATACCAGTGTCCTGAATACTCTTGGCAACCAAGCTTCAGATTTTCCAGGTAAGTTAATTTCATTGCATTGCACCATTGGCCCCATAAGGACAACCTCCCACAATCTGACATTTTAAAAATATGGTCCATGTGGTAGACAGCTTCTGAAATGGCTTTTAATGATCCCTACCTCCCAGTGACTCATATCCTTGTGGAATCCTCCCTTCTTGAGTGTGGGCTAGATCTACTGATGTTCCTGTAAGGACCAGAAAATGGCAAAAGTAAAGGGATGTCACTTCTGAGATCAGGTTACAATGCAAGCTGCCTTGCTTGCATTCTCCTGGGTTCTTCTTACTTACTCACTCTGATGAAGCAAGGTGCTGTTTGTTAACCATAAAGAGGCTAATGTGGCCAAACTAAGAATAGCCCCCAGTGAACAACTGGTAAAAAATTGAAGCCCTTAGTCCAACAGGCTTCAAAGAACCAACTATGGACAACTGCATGGGTGAGCCTGAAAGTGAGCCCAGTTGAGCTTTGAAATGTCAGCAGCCAACACCTTTGCTACAGCCTTGCGAGATACCTGGCACCAGAAAACACAGCTATACTGCAGCTTGCTTCCTGAAGCTCCAATAATGCATGAGATTTATTGCCCCACTCTAAAACATTTGGTCACTTGCAGAAGTTGCCTTTCTTTTTAGAAAATTCAACAGCTTTATTAAGATATAATTCACATGCCATATAACTCACTCATTTAAAAGGTACAATTCAATGGTTTTTAGTATATTCCTGGCACTATACAAATATCACAACAATCCATTTTAGCCCATTTTTGTCACTCTAAAAGGAAACCTCTTACCCATTAGTGGTCACTCTCTTCCTCTCCAAAACCCCCCTGCCCTAGGCAAATACTAATTTAATTTTTTTTATATCTCAAGATTTGCCTATTCAGGAGACTTTTTTTTTTTTTTTTTTGACACGAAGTCTCCCTCTGTCGCCCAGGCTGGAGTGCAGTGGCCGGATCTCAGCTCACTGCAAGCTCCGCCTCCCTGGTTTAGGCCATTCTCCTGCCTCAGCCTCCTGAGTAGCTGGGACTACAGGCACCCACCACCACGCCCGGCTAGTTTTTTGTATTTTTTTTTTAAGTAGAGACAGGGTTTCATCGTGTTAGCTAGGATGGTCTCGATCTCCTGACCTCGTGATCCACCCGTCTTGGCCTCCCAAAGTGCTGGGATTACAGGCTTGAGCCACCGCGCCCGGCCCAGGAGATTTCTTTAATAAATGTAATCATATAATATGTGGTCTTTTGTGGATGACTTCTTTCACTTAGCACAACACTGTCATTGTCTGTCTTTTTAGTTAAAGCAAATCCATTTGGGTATGAATAGGTATCTCACTGTGATTTTGACTTCCTTTTCCCAATGTCTAATAATGTTGAACATCTTTTCATGTGCTTATTTAGAAATTTGTTCATCTTCTTGGGAGAAATGTTTATTTAAACACTTCACTCATTTTTAATTTTTTTGTTTGTTTTTGAATTATAAGAGCTCTGTATATATTCTGAATTACATGTCCCTTATTATTTATACAGTCTGCAATATTCTCCCCTGTTTTGTGGGTTGCCTTTTCACTTTCTTCATGATGTACTTTAAAACACAAAAGTTTTTAATTTTGATTAAGTCTAATTTACCTATTTTCTTGTGCTTTTGATATTGTATCTAAGAAGGCTTTGCCAAATCCAAGGTCACGAAGATTTAACCTTATGTTTTCTTCTCGGAGTTTCATAGTTTTGGCTCTTGCATTTAGATCTATGATTCATGCTGAATTAGTTTTTGTAAAGAGTGTGAAATAGAGGGCCTATGTAATTTTTCTGCATGTGGATAACCAGTTGTCCCCACACCATTTACTGAGAAAACAATTCTTTCCCCATTGAATTGTCTTGGCACCCTGTCAAAAATCAGTTGACCATAAATGTATGGGTTTATTTCTGGACTTTCAATTCTGTCCCATTGATCTACACATGTACATACCTATCCTTATACCAGTACCACACGGTCTTAATTACTGTCACTTTTTAAAATTTTTTATTTTAATTTTTAGGTTCTCAGATACATGTTTAGGATGTGCAGGTTTGTTTCATACGTAAACGTGTGGTTTGCGGCACCTATCAACCCATCACCTAGGTATTAAGCCTAGCATACATTAGCTATTTTTCCTAATGCTCTTCCTCCCGCAACCCCACCCCTGACAGGCCCCAGTGTGTGTTGTTCCCCTTCCTGTGACCACGTGTTCTCATTGTTAAGCTCCTACCTATAAGAGAGAACATGTGGTGTTTGGTTTTCTGTTCCTGCATTAGTTTGCTGAGAATAATGACTTCCAGCTCCATCCATATCGCTGCAAACGACATGATCTCACTCCTTTTTATGGCTGCATATTATTCCATGGTGTATATGTACCACATTTTCTTTATCCAGCCTATCATTGATGGGCGTGTGGGTTGATTACATGTCTTTGCTATTGTGAAGAGTGCTGCAATTAATATATGTGTGCATGTATCTTTGACATAGAATGATTTATATTCCTTTGGGTATATATCCAGTAATGGGATTGCTGGGTCAGATGGTATTTCTGGTTCTAGATCTTTGAGGAATTGCCACACTGTCTTCCACAATGGTTGAACTAATTTACATTCACACCGACAGTATAAAAGCATTCCTATTTCTCCACAACCTCACCAGCATCTGTTGTTTCTTGGCTTTTTAAGAAATTGCCATTCTGACTTGTGAGAGATGGTATCTCATTGTGGTTTTGATTTGCATTTCTCTCTCTTTTTTTTATTTTTTTTTCCTGAGACAGCATCTTGCTCTGTCACCTAGCCTGGAGTGCAGTGGCGCAATCTCGGGTCACTGCAATCTCTACCTCCCTGGTTCAAACGATTCTCCTGCCTCAGTATCCTGAGTAGCTAAGACTATAGGCACATGCCACCATACCCAGCTAATTTTTGTATTTTTGGTAGAGATGATGTTTCACCATGTTAGCCAGGCTGGTCTTGAACTCCTGACCTCCTGGCCTCACCCGCCTCAGCCTCCCAAAGTGCTGGGATTACAGGCATTGAGCCACCACACCCAGCCTGATTTGCATTTCTCTAATGGTCATTGATGTCGAGCTTTTTTCGTATGTTTGTTGGCTGCATGAATGTTTTCTTTTGAAAGTGTCTGTTCATGTCCTTTGCCCACATTTTAATGGGTTTTTTTTTTTTTTCTTGTAACTTTGTTTAGGTTTCTTGTAGATTCTGGATATTAGCCCTTTGTCAGATGGATAGATTGCAAAAATTTTCTCCCACTCTGTAGGTTGCCTGTTCACTCTGATGATAATTTCTTTTGCTGTGCAGAAGCTCTTTCATTTAATTAGATCCCATTTGTCAATTTTTGCTTTTGTTGCAATTGCTTTTGACGATTTTGTCATGAAATCTTTGCCTGTGCCTGTGTCCTGAGTGATATTGCCTAGATACTCTTCTAGGGTTTTTATAGTTTCGGGTTTTATATTTAAGTCTTTAATCCATCTTGTGTTAATTTGTGTATAAGGTATAAGGAAGGGGTCCAGTTTCAATATTCTGCATATGGCTAGCCAGTTTTCCCAACACCATTTATTAAATAGGAAATCCTTTCCCGGTTGCTTGTTTTTTTTCAGGTTTGTTTCAGATCAGATAGTTGTAGATGTGTGGTCTTATTTCTGAGTTCTCTATTCTGTTCCACTGATCTATGTGCCTGTTTTTGTATCAGTACCATGTTGTTTTGGTTATTGTAGCCTTGTAGTATAGTTTGAAGTCCGGTAGCATGGTGCCTCCAGCTTTGTTCTTTTTGCTTAGGATCATCTTGGCTGTACAAGTTCTTTTTTGGTTCCATATGAATTTTAAAATAGTTTTTTCTAATTCTGTGAAGGATGTTAATGGTAATTACTGTAGTTTTGTAGTAAGTTTTAAAATTGGGAAGTGTGATCCTTCAACTTTGTTCTTTTTTGAGACTGTTTTGGATATTCTGGGTCCCTTATAATTTTTTTTTTTTTTTTTTTTTGAGACGGAGTCTCACTCTGTCACCCAGGCTGTAGTGCAGTGACACGATCTTGGCTTACTGCAACCTCTGCCTCCTGGATTCCAGCGATTCTCCTGCCTCAGCCTCCTGAGTAGCTGGGATTACAGGCATATGCCACCACACCTGGCTAACTTTTTATATTTTTAGTAGAGACGGGGTTTCACCATGTTGGTCAGGCTGGTCTCGAACTCCTGACCTCGTGATTTGCCCACCTCAGCCTCCCAAAGTGCTGGGATTACAGGTGTAAGCCATCATGCCTGGCCCCTTATAGTTTTATATGAATTTTAGAATCAACTGTCAACCGCTGCAAAAGAAAGGAGCCGACATATGATAGGCATTGTGTTGAATCTATAAAGCAATTTTACAAAAGGAAACTTTTCCAGTTCATCGACCCCAGTAATACACATTCCTTACCTTTGTGCACCCTCAAACCCAACAGAAGCTACTTGGGCATTAGTTGCCTCTTGATAGAAAGGTATTCTACCTTTTCCAGTCTGCTTAATAATCTTATACTTATAAAGCAGTTTATAAATATGAAGTATGGTGTTAGAAGCCAATTCTTGGCTTACTCATTGGGTACCTAGTCATCTCATAAGAAAATCAATTTAACATACTCCACATGATGTATGTAAAAAGTATAATAATCCTTGAGTTTAAGTTTGGGTATGAGTTTTGCGTATGTTACTACCTACAAATATGACTGTTATTAAAATGACCTTTTATGAAACCTGGAAAGATTAAGCCAACCATCTGCCTGTCAATTGCACAGCCCAAGATTGTCAAGTACTATTGGCTATCAAACACAACTAACACAAGAATTTTTGCCAGTCTATTTAATTTATCACTATATGCTAAGCTATATATCACTTGGATCGTTTCTTTCCGTTTTGATTTAGGATTACATTTTAATTAAGAATACATTTCTACCTTTAGAGGGCACTCATAACATACAGCACCTAGACATCCAAAATAAGCAGCTCTACCAGGAATAGAACATGAAAGATCTGTGGATAAGCTACTGATCCACAAAGCAGATAATCCTTTTGCTTTCATTAGTGTAACTTTCCGAGGAGGCTCCCCACAGACTCAGAGCCAGCCCAGCATTAACCAAACAAAGAGAAACAGAGTGGATCCTGTGCTAATATTGGGAAAACCAGGCAACAGGACTCATTTGGGGCCTTTATTGTGAAAACATGCCCCAGCTTTCCCAAGATAACCAAGAGTGCCTCCAGAAACATTTCTTCAGGCCATCTATATGGACACAGTTTCTGCCCCTGTTTAGGGCTCAGAGATATAATGCAGACATTCACCAAATCACAGAAAATGAAGGAGACCCCAGGGCCGTTCCTGATATCAAGGTAAGGTGATCTCCACAATCCATGATCCTTTCCTGTCAAGGGAAAGTGTTTACCAGAAAGAATATAAAACTATATGCAAGCTTTAGTGTCATTGCTCTCTTATCTTAGTGTTTTACCAAAAATGTTTTCAAACCAACCCCAAGGGAAATGTACAAGCTAGATGATAATTACCTGATCTATCTAGTTTTCTCCAATCTAAACAGATTCCCCTTACCAAAACAAATTGTTGTTTATTGCTTTTTTGTTTGTTTGTTCGTTCGTTTCAGGTGATAACATTCAACAAATCTAGACAGACTTTGTGGCTTTAAGTGTTAGCCCTTGGATATCTTTCTCTGATATAAATATGATATCCCATATAATAATGAAAGAAAAATGGTAGACTGCTTTCTACAAAAAAAATTCCTAGGGAAAACAATTAATAAACTAAGAACATAAGAACATTAAGGAGCTAAGGGATGTTTTTTCCAAATTAAAAGTTTCCTAAGGTGAATTTCCTAAGCTTGAGTTTCTATCAGTAGGTAATAACATTATTTCTCCAAAGAGTGACAATTTACCTGCTGGATGTTGTGTGTATCTTTGAAGAAAATACAGTTTGAGTCTGTAAATCCTCTTAGCTATTAACATTTCGTAAAAGGTTACTTGGTATAGAATATGGACATGTGTTAATGTCTAACAAGCAAGAGCACACTCAAAATTAAGTGTTGCAAAACTATAAAACTGTTCAAATACCTTAACACCAGAAAATTCACCTGTTCTTTTGCCACAGCTCATATCCTGATAATAATCATTATTTATTTGCAAACTCTTTATATGATTCTCTAGGTCTGCCCTTTCTCCTAATGTTATTTTAACCATTTGGCACAAGTGGAGGGGAAAATAATAAAAATAAAAAGCGTCAACACAAAGGTATTTTTTGTAAATATATACGGGCCTGTTCTTTTGAGCTTTCAGATATATGTGAACAAATAACACATGAATTCCCACACCCCCTATTATCATCTAAGCACTAAGAGTTTAGCAAGCTGCAATGAAATGGGATGTAGTGACCAAGAGTCCTGAATTAATGGACATCTTAATGTAGGCAACACATGCAAAAGATATTTCTAAAAGACAGAATGTGGAGGCTACTTTGAGGAAACAAACAGCAAAAACAACAAATATACCCATTATATGGTGCATATGTATGCTGTTGTATATGTATGTATGTATATACACGCACACACATATATATAATTTCAAAGTTCTGTCTTGAGAAGGTATGCTGTAAGTGGAATCAAAGACAAATAAAATGCAAAAATATTTTAAAATCACTGTTACACCTTCGATGGCATCCTGGAATCAACCACACACGCTGGTGTTGGGCAGCCTAACTTCTATCCTAACCTCACCAATCTGTTAACAGGTTCCAGTCTGTACAGCAACAGGTGAGGGTAGAAGGAAGCAATCCAGTTGGGATGCTACTGGCTCCTTCATTCAGGTTTTGCCTTTTGAAAAAGATCTTTTTATATTGCATCTGAATACAGAAAGAGGAGACGTGCCTCTTCTAGCAAATGTAAGGATGGAAACACTCAACTCATTTTGAATCTGTTGATATCATTGAATCCTTACTAACTGCAAAACCTTGGGCTAGGAGCCATAGGGAATAAAGAGAAAGAGCAAGATATACTCTCTCCCTTCTAGAGACTTACTGTATATTGAGAAAGACAAACATATAGCATATTATCGGCATGACTCATGTCAATAATATAAGGTACCTACATAATTATTGTACATTTTTTCAATCAGTAAGATATTAGGGGAGGAATATGATCACTCTGGGGTAAGACGATTGAAGAAGCCCAGTGTTAGAGTGAAAGCAGTGAAATCTAAGGTAGACGTGAAATAATGTCTAAGAACATACATATAGAGGCAGAAAGAGGGAACGTGGGCTAAAATGTATCTAGACATCAAGGGGTCAGTCAGAAATTCTCCAAAAATCCTCAACCTAAGCTTTACAGTTCCTGCAAAAATTACCCCCAAATAGATCATGGGCTTAAATGTACAACTACATGTAAAACTATAGAACTTTTAGGAAAAAAATGAGAGAAAATCTTTATGAGCTAGGGCTAGGTGAAGAGTACACAGACACCAAAAAATCATGATCCATGCAAGAAAAATAATCAATAAAGAAGACTTCATTAGAATCTAAAAAACTTTTGCCCTGTCAAAGACTCTATTGAGAGGATAAAAGACAGCATACAGACGGCAGGAAAATACTTTCACCCCCATGTCTGCCAAACACCTTGAACCGAGAATAAAGAATTCTCAAAACTCAAGAGTAAAAGACAAACAGTCCAACAACAATATGGGCAAAAGACATGAACAGGCATTTTACTGAAGAGAATATGCAGATGGCAAATAAATATATGAAAAGACAGTCAACATTGTTAGCCATTAGGGAGATGCAAATTAAAGTCACAGTGAAATAGCACTACACACCCAGCAGAATGGGTAAAATGGAGAAAAAATAGTGGCTATAAAAATGGCTAGAATGGCTAAAATGACTAAAATTATGACAACACCAACTGCTGGAAAGGATACAGAGAAACTGAATCATTCATGCATTGCTGATAGGAATGTAAAATAGTACAAGCAATCTGGAAAACAATTTGGCAGTTTCTCATGAAATTGAAGATACAACTACCATATGGTCTAGCAATTTCACTATTAGGCATTTATCCCAGAGAAATTAAAACCTACATTTACACCAACCCTGTATGCCAACGTCCACAGCTGCTTTATTTGTAATAGTCAAAAACCAGAAACAACCCCAAAGCCCTTCAAGGGATGAATGATTAAACAAACCGTGGTACATCCATACCGTGGAATCCCATGGAGCCACTAAAAGGAATGAACTACTGATACACAACACACTTAGGTAGACTTCAGGGACTGATGCTGAGCGGGGAAGAAAAAGCCAATTCCAAAAAGTCACACACTACATATATGTGTATGATTCTATATAAGCCACTCTTTTTTTTTCTTTGAGATGGAATCTTGCTCTGTCGCCCAGGCTGTAGTGCAGTGGGGTGATCTCGGCTCACTATAACCTCTGCCTCCTGGGTTCAAGCGATTCTCTCACCCCTGCCTCCAGAGCAGCTAGGACTACAGGCATGTGCCGCCACACCCAGCTAATTTTTGTATTTTTAGTAGAGACAGGGTTTCACCATGTTGGCCAGGCTGGTCTTGAACTCCTGACCTCAAGTGATCCGCCCACCTCAGCCTCCCAAAGTGCTGGGGCTACAGATGTGAGTCACCATGCCCAGCCTATATAAGCCACTCTTGAAATAAAATTATAGACATAGAGAACAGATTCGTGGTTGCCAAAGATTAGGGATTAGGTAGGGTGGTGGGTATAGCTACAAATGGGTCATACTTGAAAGGGAGCCTGGTGGTGATGAACTAGTTCTGTGTCTTGACTGCAGTGGCACATGTGTAATGTGCAAAAGTTGCATGAAACTATACACGTGCACACACAGAAATGAGTGAAATCTGAATAAGCTCTGTGAATGGTACCCTTTTCATTTCCTAGTTTTGATGTTGTTCTTTAGTTATGCAGTCTCCATTGAGGGAAAGTGGGTGATCAGTACACGGGACCACTCTGTACATTCTGTGTACATGATTTCCTATGACTTTAGCATTATTTCAAAATAAGCAATCTTAAAAAGCAAACCTCTAAAGGCAGGTTAAACTGACAATATGACACACAAATCGCCTACATTTATTATGGTTATTCCAGTTGTTCTTTCCATTTGGCTCCTTGGGTTAATAGCATTGATGTGGTCTGACCTGTTTTAGAGATGAGAAAACAAGTTTGGATATACTATTGGTTGCATATGTGAAGTCAGCTGAGAGGTGATTTGAACCTGGATTTTCTGACGCTGATTTCAATAAGTATTTGATAGCTTCTGACAGGGATTTAAAAAGTGGACTGTAGTTTCCTTGGCTTGAAGCCAGTCTTCTTAATAGTACTTTCTGTATGGTTTCTGCCCAAAATACTCCAACACAGACCACTAATTTACTACAAAATCCCATACACCTGCATATACACTCACATACTTGTGTTCATCGGATTATTTTTTATTTATTTTATTTTTCTTTTTTTCTTTTTTTGAGACTCAGTCTTGCTCCATCACCCAGGCTGGAGTGTAGTGACGTGATCTCAGCTGATTGCAACCTCCGCTTCCCAGGTACAAGTGATTCTCCTGCCTCAGCCTCCCAACTAGCTGAGACTAAAGACACCCGCCATCACCCCCAGCTACGTTTTTTTTGTATTTTTAATACAGACAGGGTTTCACCATGTTGACTGGGCTGGTCACAAACTCCTGACCTCATGTGATCCATCTGCCTTGGCCTCCCAAAGTGCTGAGATTACAGGCGTGAGCCACCGTGCCCAGCTGATCAGATTTTTTTTTTCTTCCATCAGGATTTTTGTTTCCTTTCAGGGCAGGAATGCAAGCGGGAGGGCGGGTGAACTCTAGGCCAGCAGTTTTTCTAGACAATCAACATGAGGAAGAGAAAGCGTTACAGCTGTTCTAGTGAGAAGTCAACTCTGTCAATATATATGTTTATGTGTGTGCATTCTTTCTCAAAAATAAACATGGTCAGAGCTTAGACAAGAGAGCTGTTTCCACAAGGTTATTTTTCAGCCCATTCCAAAGTCAATGCCCTTCTGAAAGTGTGGGCTTCTAAGTGCTCTGCTGTTCCAGACTTGTGATCCCTTGAGCAGCTGATCAAAGCACTTATTTTAAGACCTTATACACAGAAAGGAGAAAATAAATCTCAAGGCACCAAAGGGCAGCTACAAAGACAATGGAGCCTTGTGTAATGAAAATGATAGAGGAAAGAAGGAAAGAAAAACAGCTTAGTAAGAGAGCAATTATGCCTGTTGGCCAAATACCTTACCATTAGTGTATTCAGAAGACAGAATTATTCTGTCCTGCCTCCTTTTGTGAAAGAGT